TTTAAGTCTGTGAAAGATAGTCATAAATAAAGTCTTGACAGAAAATGCTTTTTAGCCATTGAAACGTAATACCCATTCCTTTGTATTGCATACCATTTTATACTGGATATTCATTGATTATTGTCATGCATGTTACATATTATTATTAATTAATTTGTCATTATAAATAAAAATCTATTTTTATACATTGTGATTATTTATATGAAATACTTTTCACTTAACACGATAAACGTTCTTTGGGATCTGAGAATTGAATTAGTGGGCAATTCTCACTGTTACTATTATTATCCCATAAATATCCCCACACTTCTTTAAGAAATGGTATGGCTTTATGGGGAATTTGGATTATATAGCCTGGTAAAATACTCTAAAATGGGACATAGGCACAGCATAAAAATTCAAAGTTTGAAAAAAAACTGGAATGGCTGTGTCGCAAATGTGCCCCTCCGATGTCCACACGTACCTGGCAAAGGTACATACGGGGGTATTGCTGTACTCAGCCGACATAACTGAGCAACATATGAAGTATTATACAGTCGTAGCACACATAAGGTTTGCAAAATATACTGTGCAAACTCACTTTGTATGTCAAAAAGGCAGAAAAAACGCTTATTACCACTACATCTGGTACAAGCTAGCGGAAAAATGATCCCACACTAAGGTTCAAACTATACCTTTTGAAACACCCTGGGGTGTCTACTTTAAGAAATGGTAGGCCTTGTGGGGTAGTTTGAATTTAAAACCTGCGAAGATGCTTGGAAATTGCACATAGGCCCAGCGTCAAAATTCAAAGTTTGGTAAAAACGGATATGGCTTGGTCTCCTATATGGCACTGTAGCTTCACAAAATAGTGCCAAAGACATTCATTGGGGGTGTATTTTTACTCAAAAGACTTAGCTGAGTATAATTTGGGAGGTTTGAACTTAGTGGCACATATGAAATATACAAAACGCCCAGCAAAAATGCAATCCGCATGTAAAAAATGCACAAAATAATTCTTTTACCACATACTTTGGCATATATTGGTGAAAAAATGGGGGTATGTTAAGGCACAATATGCACCTTATGAGATACCCTGGAGTGTCTACTTTTACAAATGGTAGGCCTTTGTGGGGGGTTTTTGAACAGTCAAACTGTTATAATACCCCAAATGGAAGCTAAGGCTCATTAAATTCATCTCTCAAAATTCTACTGTGAATACTGAAAAGGACAGGTATCCTATATGGGACTGTAGCTTCACGAAATAGTGCAAAAGACATACAATGGGGGTGTCATTTTACTCAGCAGTCAGCAGATGTAACTGAACACAAAATAAAACTTTGTACAGGAATAGCACACACCAACTTTACAAAATATACACGAGAATTTCTCTGTTATAAGTTTGTGTGCCAAAAACCAAAAAGAACACAATTTTACTCCAATATTTAGCAGAGGTTGGCGGTGAAATGGCTACGTAGAAAGTGTCAAAACAACCTTAGGTAAATAGCCCGTGATGTCTACTTTATATAAATATATACTTTGTGTGGCAATTTTGTTTTCTTTTATGGCTATTAAGCTTACAAGACAAACATACCAAATTCTAAAATCGTTCCACATTAAAAGTTTATTTTACTCCTTGTGCTTTGTGACCTGTAACTACCAAAAAAACTTAAAATCCCAGACACATTATATATTCTGTAAATCAGAACAAATAAATAAATTTATTTTTAATTACTTTCCTTAACCTGCACTAATTATGCACACATTATTATTGCAAAAACTGTAAAAAAAAACAATATTTTTCATTTATTTTGCATTTTTCTGTATTTTTTTATAATAAGTAAGCATTTATATATATATATGTTATATCAAATTAAAGCCCTTTCTGTCCTTTAAAAAACAGTATATAATATGTCGGTGCAATAAATGAGAGAGATGCAAATTGCAGTTGAACGCAAACAGCAAGAAAATGCAAAAATTGCTTGTGTCATTAAGCGTAAGTCAAGCTTCTGAAGCTGTGTCCTTAAGGAGTTAAAAGAAACTACTTTAAATAGCCTACTTTCAAGCAAACTCTATAATTTATTTCAAAGCCCCCAAGTGGGGACACTGGATGGACTAAACCCCCATACCCCACCCCATTATATTCAGGGCCGGCGCGTCCATAAGGCGGCCGCCTTAGGGCGCCTAAGCAGCCTACCTTGCCCTTGCCTTGCTCTCTTGGCGGGCTCCCTCCTTTACTGACGGTCCGGAGGTGAAGTCTGTGCTGTGCTGCCCTCTCCTGATGGTGTCAGGAGGGGCGCAACTTTCACCTCCTCCACCTGCTGGCTCCAATATGGAGGCGCCCATACAGTGGAGCCCGCCCAGCACAAGTCAAGTGCAGAGAGGGACTGAGGGAGTGACAATGAGATAAGGGGAGGGAGACAGGGAGGAAAGGGAGGCAGACAAGCCCAGGCGGGATCCAGTATGGCGGCGGAGTGCAATATCCTAGAGTGAGTAGGGGGCCAGACTTCAGCTGCCCGTCCCCTCCCCCCTGCCTCCATATTGTCCAAGTCCTGCAGACAGAGACAGCACACTGCTCCCCATAGTGTTCGAGTGTCTGCAGACTGCAGTCTCCTCAGATCCACCTCACTATAGACCTGGCTGTCAGTACTTGAATGGGGTAAGTTTTTAAAAAAAATTATATTTAATTTTTGAATTGTATTCTATACTCCCTGTCAGTGCACTAGGGGGTCAGAGTGACATGGGGTTACAGGCTCCTACTCCTTGTCACTTTGTCCCCAAATCCCCTATTATCATTTGTCCCTCTGCATCCCATTTCTCACTCCTTTGTCACTGTGTCCCACAAGCCCCATTTCACTTGGTCCCTAATTGTTTAGTATTGCTTCACTGTATCTGCTTAAAGGGATACTGTAGTACTGTAGTACCAGGAATACAAATGCTGTGCGCGCAACAAATGTCAAGCGCGCATTAGACCTCCCCATAGGAAATCATTGAATTAATGCTTTCCTATGGGGAAATATCTGTCGCTGGAGGTCCTCATACAAGGCGTGAGGACGTCCAGCATCAGATAACAGAACAAAAGTCTGTTTCGATTCCTCAAGCACCCCCAGTGGCTTTCTGGTAGACAGCTACTGGGGCAGACTTAGTGCTGCAATGTAAACATTGCCCGCTAGTTACTCTGTCCCCAACCTGTGTCAGTCTTTCACCGTAATACCTTATCCCCCAATCCTTTGCCACTCTGTTCGCTGTATTCTCAGGGTGGGTAGGTTGTTTAATGTTTATGTACTTTATACACAGCTAAGCTATTAATTCCACTGTGAAAACTGCAGTAAATGTGTGTGTGATTTATAATAAAAAAAATGAAAAAAAAGCTACTTGCGTACAATTCCAAATCCTTATGTACATTTAAATAACTGGAGGTTTTTTAGTATGAGTATTTTAGCTCATCTGTCTGTTAAAATTATATTAAATGTACATAGTGATTTATTGTGTGTATTGGGGCTGATGTGTACTATGGTCATTGATACTGCCCAGGAGAAGTGAGAATTTGAGCGCAAGGCTTAATTTAGTATGTTTATGTCTGTAATTGTAGTTTTTTTAAATGTATTTATTTTTGTAAATGTTTAAGGATTTTGCATTGTAATCACAACACAAAACATGTCGGGAAATAGTACATCACTCAGTGCAGGGCTCGACAAATTCTAGGACTAGACTAGGAATTTTGTCCTGGCGCCTGGGTGTTTGTTAACCCATTCACCAGATGCAGCTGGCCGAGGGAGCATGGAGCAGTAATTTTCCTACAGTTCTTGCTCTGTTTCTTCCCATGCTGGTTAGTGATGCATGCATCTGGAATATGACGTCACTCCGGCCCCAGCATCACTAAACAGCACGCAATGGAGCAGAGAAAAAAGGGCAGGGAGAATAGAGAGTACCCACACCACATCCTAGTGAAAGAATCCACTCCCAAAAGTAGGGAGGCTGGGTGTGCTTAAATTAAAGAATAAATAAATAATTTGTGAGTGTATGACAAAATATGTGTGTGTTAAGGTTACCACCCCCCTCCGATCTCAGGGGACAGGTAATTTTATTCACCTTTTTTCAAACACCGTGCTGGTTTCACCATGGTTGGCCCTGCCTCCATGGCTGAGTTAATCAATCTTGAAGATGTCAGCCAAGCCAATGCTTTCTCGTAAGAAAGCATTGTAAGGCTATTGTAAATGCGCTGTAAAATGTTGCACTGCGACAATCAAGCACTGAACTAGGAATCACCTCTACTGGCCATCTGAGTGACTATCACTAGAGGTGTTATTAGGCAGCAATGTAAACACTGCCTTCTCTCTGAAAATGCAGTGTTTACATTTAAAGGCTTGAATGGGCAGGCTTTAGACACCAGAATATTAAGCTATAGTGGTTCTGGTGACTATAGTGTCCCTTTAAAAATAGTTTTGTTTTGTTTTGTTTTTTTTAAAAACCTTGCTCCCAACTTTTTTAGCTGGCTCCTAGATCGCAAACAAATTTGTCAAGCCCTACAACAAGCAGGTTTGAACTTTGAGGGATTATTGAGTTGGTGGAGAAGCAAAGCAGATACTCTGAGAGGAACACAATGAAAGGAAGGAACTGTTTGGACCAGGCTGGCCTGTTCTGGCTGCTGCAGAGAAGGAAAGAATCTGCATCAAGGAACATGACCAGAGCGAGGAAGGCAGGATGAGCTGTGGATGGAGACATGGATGAAATTTCACTTTTCCTTATAATGTTATAATTCCTAATTGTGAGTGTTAAATTAAACATCATTCTTATTCTTTACATAGCTGGAAAAGTATATTCAAAATGCCTAAACTATTTAAGGAAAATAAATCATCAGGGGCAGTGTTCAGACAAAGACGAGCAGAAAAAGAGAAAGCTGGGAAGCGGATGTCTGAAGCTTTAAAGGAGTACTTGACTTCTCACAAAAGGAGAAAGCAAGATACTGCTGCATGAGAACCAGTTTCCAATGTTGCAAGCGAACCCGTACAAATCGATATCGATGAATCTTCAACATCATCATTCAAACAGCCCATCACAGTCCAAGAGGCTGTTAATGTAGATGATGCAAATACTGGAAAAAATACCAGAACAACAAGATGATGAGCAACCTTCCACATCATCACACTCGGTCTACCTTGAGAAGACCATTGACCCAGAAGGATCAAATGACGAAGAAGAAGAAAGAGAGGAACTGCAGCAGGAGGAACAATATACTTCTTTAGCAATACTGGATTTGTCTGACCCAGCTAATTGGCCAGCTGTTCTCTTGTCAGGAAAGGTCCTGCAAAGCAAAAAACTAACTTCATTTTCCCCAAAGATGCAGCGAATAGACATTTCACTAAAGCAAATTACAAGCGACGGCTGCCAAACGGAGAAGAAACCTTTAGAAACTGGCTGGTTTATTCTGTCAAATTGAACAAAGTATTTTGTTTTTGTTGTAAGCTATTTGCAACTAAAGTCACTACATGTATGACACGTGGAGGTTATAATGACTGGAAAAACGTATCTCAAAATCTTTCCATTCATGAAAAGTCTAACTCTCATCTTGTCGCTGTAAGAGACTGGAATGAACTCTCGAAAAGATTTGGTTGTGGAAAAACAATAGATGCAGCTTCCCAGAGATTGTTGGCAACAGAAACACAACATTGGCAAGATGTTGTTAAGCGCCTTATGGGCATAGTAAAATATCTTTTTTTTGACCCCAGAATGGCAGTCAGATTTATCCTTGGATCAAGAAGCGGTTACCCTATAGTTGTAAAATTTAAATAATTGAATATTATGTTTTTGCAAGTATGCATCTAGTTGCGGTTTAAACATTTGCACGGACTCTGATACAACCACTTCTTCAGGCAGATAAGTCCACATTCTTATTGTTCTAATGGGAAAAAAACCTTTCCTTTGCCTTAGACTAAATCTTATTTCTTCCAGTCTAAACGCATGACCTTGTGTCCTATGTATAGTCCTGTTTGTAAATAGATTTCCACACAATGGTTTGTATTGGGCACGGATATATTTGTATAATGTTATCACACTCCCTTTTTGGCAACATTTTTCTAAACATAAAAACATAGAATGTGACGACAGCTAAGAACCATTTGGGCCATCTAGTCAGCCCAATTTTTTAAAATACTTTCATTAGTCCCTGGCCTTATCTTATGGTTAGGATAGCCTTATGTGTATTCAACGTGTGCTTAAACTCCTGTGTTAACCTCTATCACTTCAAATGGAAGACTATTCCATGCATCCATCAAGTTCAGCCTTCCTAACATTTGTTTTTTGTGTTTATCCAAAAGAAGGCAAAAAAAAACAGTTTAAAGCACTTCCAATTTTGCAACAAACTAGGAAAAAAATTCCCTTTGCACCTCAGAATGGCAGTCAGATTTATCCTTGGATCAAGAAGCTGTAACCCTATAGTTGGAAAAATTAAATAATTGAATATTATGTTTTTGCAAGTATGCATCTAGTTGCGGTTTAAACATTTGCACAGACTCTGATAAAACCACTTCTTCAGGCAGATAAGTCCACATTCTTATTGTTCTAATGGGAAAAAAAAACTTTCCTTTGCCTTAGACTAAATCTTCTTTCTTCCAGTCTAAACGCATGACCTTGTGTCTTATGTATAGTCCTGTTTGTAAATAGATTTCCACACAATGGTTTGTATTGGGCCCAGATATATTTGTATAATGTTATCACACCCCCTTTTTGGCAACATTTTACTAAACATAAAAACATAGAATGTGACGACAGCTAAGAACCATTCGGGCCATCTAGTCTGCCCAATTTTTAAAAATACTTTCATTAGTCCCTGGCCTTATCTTATAGTAAGGATAGCCTTATGTATATCCAACGCGTGCTTAAACTCCTGTGTTAACCTCTATCACTTCAACTGGAAGGCTATTCCATGCATCCACTACCCTCTCAGTGAAGTAATACTTCCAGATATTATTTTTAAACCTCCTGTCCTCTTGTTGTGGTAGTTTTTCTTCTTTTAAATATAGTCTCCTCCTTTACTGTGTTGATTTCCTTTATGTATTTAAATGTTTCTATCATATCATGTTGGTAGCCCTTCTCTGAATGCTCTCTAAAGTATCAATATCCTTCTGGAGATACGGTCTCCAGTACTGCGTACAATACTCCAAGTACTGGCCTCACCAGTGTTCTTGTAGCGTTACTTACCTTATCCAGGGGCTGGCCGCGGTCCTCTCTTCGAGCCGCGCGCGGTCCTGCTGCTGCAAGAGCCGCGCACGGCTCATCCGACGGCTTCAATAGGAAGGCGGGCAGTGACCGCAAGAAGCGGTCACGTGTCCCGCCTGAATCTAAGAGCGCGCCGCGAGTCTCTGGCGCGCTCTTAAAGAAACAGTGGGAGCCTAAATTGTCAAAAGGCTCCCATTGGCCCCTGTCATGCCACACTCCCCATACACTTACCTTTTGGGGGTGTGGATATGACAGGAGCCAGTCACATTAGTTTAGAAGCTATTTAAACTTACATCTCACTTTACTCCCTGCCCTATCGTGGTTTCTGTTTCAGTTCCCTTTAGCGCTTGTTGTGTTCAGTTGTGTTTCTTCGTATTGACTTTGGCTTTGTTTCTGACTACGTTTTCTCTTTATCCTTATCTGTTCTGTTTGCCGGCTTGCTGTTTACTGTGTACCAGACCCCGGCTAATCCTAGTTTACGCTGTCTCTCTGTGCCCTTGACTTCGGATCGTTCCTGACTCTGTCTCCTCTCATATACGTCGAGTTCGGCCATTCTAAGGTCCGGTAGACGTATCTCTCCTCTGTGTTGTCTTCTGTTTAGCTGAATCCTGCGTGTTGGGGTATATTCTCGTTACAGTTCTGTACAATGGCATGAGCACTTCCCTCTTTTTACTGCTAATACCTCTCCCTATACAACCAAGCATTCTGCTAGCATTTCCTGCTGCTCTGTTACATTGTCTGCCTGCCTTTAAGTCATCAGAAATAATCACCCCTAAATACCTTTCCTCAGATGTTGAGGTTAGGACTCAAATTATCAATTTTTTTGTACTCTGCCCTTGGGTTTTTACATCCAAGATGCATTATCTTGCACTTATCCACACATTAAATGTCAGTTGCCACAACTCTGACCATTTTTCTAGTTTACCTAATTCATTTGTCATTTGGCTTATCCCTCCTGGAACATCAACCCTATTACATATCTTAGTATCATCAGCATCAAGACCTTCTGCAATATCACTAATAAAAAATATTAAAGAGAATGGGTCCAAGTACAGATCCCTGTGGTACCCCACCGGTGACAAGCCCATGTTTCAAATATACTTCATTTACTATAACCCTCTGTTGCATTTCACTCAGCCACTGCCTTACCCATTCAACAATATCCAAACTTAAAGATTGCAGTTTATTGATAAGCCTATAAACTAAAGAGGTTTAAATTTGTTAACCTTAGCTAAAATGTTCCATTCCTTTTATTAATTTTGTAGCCTGCCTCTGCACTTTATAGTGCCATAGTATCCTTCTTTTGAACAGGTGCCCCAAATTGCTGTAGGTGATGTGGGGTCATCACGAGTAATGTCGCGAACCCGAAATTTTCACACTGACACAGAGCAGAATAAAGACTGTTCCCCCTACATAGGGTCACTTGGCAGATATGGATTGACACCTGTCCTCAGAGACCATGATACACACTGACAGAGCAGAATAGAGACTGTTCCCCCTACATAGGGTCACTTGGCAGATATGGATTGACACCTGTCCTCAGAGATCATGATACACACTGACACAGAGCAGAATAGAGACTGTTCCCCCACATAGGGTCACTTGGCAGATATGGATTGACACCTGTCCTCAGAGCCCCTGATACACACTGACACAGAGCAGAATAGAGACTGTTCCCCAACATAGGGTCACTTGGCAGATATGGATTGACACCTGTCCTCAGAGCCCCTGATACACACTGACACAGAGCAGAATAGGGACTGTTCCCCCTACATAGGGTCACTTGGCAGATATGGATTGACACCTGTCCCAAGGATCCCTGATACACACTGACACAGAGCAGAATAGGGAATGTTACCCCAACATAGGGTCACTTGGCAGATATGGATTGACAACTGTCCTCAGAGCCCCTGATACACACTGACACAGATCAGAATAGGGAATGTTACCCCAACATAGGGTCACTTGGCAGATATGGATTGACACCTGTCCTCAGAGACTATGATACACACTGACAGAGAGCAGAATAGAGACTGTTCCCCCTACATAGGGTCACTTGGCAGATATGGATTGATACCTGTCCTCAGAGCCCCTGATACACACTGACACAGAGCAGAATAGGGACTGTTCCCCCTACATAGGGTCACTTGGCAGATATGGATTGACACCTGTCCTCAGAGACCATGATACAAACTGACACAGAGCAGAATAGGGACTGTTCCTCCTACATAGGGTCACTTGGCAGATATGGATTGACACCTGTCCTCAGAGACCATGATACACACTGACACAGAGCAGAATAGAGACTGTTCCTCCCACATAGGGTCACTTGGCAGATATGGATTGACACCTGTCCTCAGAGACCATGATACACACTGACAGAGCAGAATAGAGACTGTTCTCCTACATAGGGTCACTTGGCAGATATGGATTGACACCTGTCCTCAGAGATCATGATACACACTGACACAGAGCAGAATAGAGACTGTTCCCCTACATAGGGCCACTTGGCAGATATGGATTGACACCTGTCCTCAGAGAACATGATACACACTGACACAGAGGAGAATAGAGACTGTTCCTCCTACATAGGGTCACTTGGCAGATATGGATTGACACCTGTCCTAAGGATCCCTGGTACACAATGACACAGAGCAGAATAGGGATAGTTCCTCCTACATAGGGTCACTTGGCAGATATGGATTGACACCTGTCCTAAGGATCCCTGATACACAATGACACAGAGCAGAATAGAGACTGTTCCTCCTACATAGGGTCACTTGGCAGATATGGATTGACACCTGTCCTAAGGATCCCTGGTACACAATGACACAGAGCAGAATAGGGATAGTTCCTCCTACATAGGGTCACTTGGCAGATATGGATTGACACCTGTCCTCAGAGACCATGATACACACTGACACAGAGCAGAATAGAGACTGTTCCCCCTACATAGGGTCACTTGGCAGATATGGATTGACACCTCTCCTAAGGATCCCTGATACCCAATGTCACAGAGCAGAATTGGGACTGTTCCTCCTACATAGGGTCACTTGGCAGATATGGATTGACACCTGTCCTCAGAGACCATGATACACACTGACACAGAGCAGAATAGGGACTGTTCCTCCTACATAGGTCACTTGGCAGATATGGATTGACACCTGTCCTCAGAGCCCCTGATACACACTGACACAGAGCAGAATAGGGACTGTTTCTCCT